TGCTCACGTGCCATGGGGATAATGAGCGACGCAGTGTTGGGTGATGATGCAATGTTGGGCGATGAGATAATGCAGTGTTGGGCGATGAAATGACACAGTGTTGGGTGATGATGCAATGTTGGGCGATGATGCAGTGTTGCCAACTGTCGCCACTTCATTGTGCGTCTTGTGATTTTTTTTTTTTTTATCTAGTTATTAAAGCCCCTAGAATGAAGTGACTGCCTGAGACCCTCGGCTTTCCCTGACAAAGTTTCCAGCCTCGAGAACATGATTGATTGTGCCCCAAAATGCCCAGAAATCAGCAGGCAAAGAAAAAGATCCCAACTGTGGAAGAGCCTCCTCACCAACGGTGCACGCTTTCTTGGCTGGGCGTGGCATAGCGACCTTTTCTCCCTAGGGGCCCCCGGCCCACAGCCACTCTGGCTCTGCAGTGGTCTTCCTCTTTGGCCAGGTCACTTTTACTCCTGCCGTATGCAGGATAACCAAGTCCAACACACCCGTAGTCTGGCAGGGCCATGCTAGAGCTCTGGTCCTGCTTCAGGCTTTGTGGGCCTTCCAGCCCTTGGCTGTGAGGTTTTCATGCCTCCATTGTAGATGGGCTGGTAAGGGGACACTGCCCAGAGGCCCTGTATGAAGCAGAACTGGTTTTTCCCTCTTTTAAACCTTCCCTACAGACTTGACACCTTGCATAGGTGTAATAGACTCATAGACTTTAAGGTCAGAAGGGACCATTATGATCATCTGGTCTGACCTCCCGCATGATGCAGGCCACAAAGCCGTCCCAACCGTTTCCCTTGACTCTGCTGTTGAAGTTCCCAAATCCTGTGGTTTAGAGACTTCAATTAGCAGAGAATGGGGTGGGGCTGATAGGGGTACAGGCTTTCATTAACCCTTTACTGCTCAGAGTGGCGTCTGTACACCCCCTCACATCAACATTTATAAATTAAAAAGATCTCCATGTTTATAGGGCAATCTCATGATGTTGGGGGCTGGCTCCTGAGTTTGGACCACTGGGGACTGGCCGTCCTCATCTCGCCACCCACTCTGACCACAATCACAAGCGAAGGAGTTCTGAGTCACAGCAGCAGGCGGAAGGGAGACCCTGCACAAGTGCATCTGCTGCCAGGATGTCAGTGGGTCAGAGAAGAGGGAGGGAAATGAATCATGGCCCCAGTCGGGCTGGGGAACTCTCCTGACAGAGAGAGTTAAGATCTGGGACTGTTTCATCTGGAAAAGAGAAGTGTCAGGTGATGGCTGGGTACAAACTGCTGAAGGAGAGGGGCAGTGGTGACCAATTTCCCCTTTCCCACAGTTCGAGAACAAGAGGGGCCCCAAGGACATTAAAAGGCAACTTATTTAAACCAGACAAGAGGAAGCACCTTGGCATCACAACGCAGAACGAACCTGGGGAACTCACTGCTGCAAGCAATTATTGCAGCAAAGGGCCTGAGAGGTCTCAAAAAAGGATTAAGGGGGAGAGTCTCTCCTCCCCTCCACACCCACCATAGCCCCTTCCCATTGCTCAAGAGGGCTGGACGGTGCTCCTCCTACACAGGCACAGGGGCAGTCTACACTCGTTGCATGCCTGTAGGGGGTGTGCTGGGGGAAGGTTGGGGTGGGATGGGCATGTCATGGGGCAGATTCTGAGCAGTTCTGTGACCCCTAGGAGGCTGCTGTAACTTAGCCAGGCTCCCAGGGCTGGCTGTTCAATTGAGGGCCACTCCAGCCTGTGGAGTAGCTGAGGCTGGGGAGGGTGCAAAGGTGGCTTAAAGCCCCCCTCCTCCCCGTCCCCTGGGCTGTGAGGTCTGTGCTGCATCTCTTAGCCCAGCCCCCTGCATGTCGAGCTGAATGAGAACAGCATCGGAGACACCACAGCCCAAGTAACACTCCTGAGGCGGTCGCCCCCTGTGCGTTTCTGGATCAATGGGACAAGCAGGATCAATCTCTTCTGCATCTGGGCTAGTATCAGCTGGGTCGGTAGCAGGGGGATATGGGCCTATCTGAGTACAGCAGGAGCTGGAGATGGCAGTTCTGGAGAGGGAGCCCTGCGATGTGGGTGAATTCCCTGCTCTGCCAGTAACTCCCTGCGTGACCTTGGGCCAGTCCCTTAGTCTCTCTGGCCTCAGGTCCCCGCTGTGAAATGGCATTAATAACACGTCCGTTTCCCTCACTCCTTGTCTGATCGTTTAGAGTGAAGCTCTTCGGAGCAGGGGCTGCCTCTCCCCATGTGTACGTGCAGCCTCCTATCGCCAGCTATGGGCCCCATCGCCATAGCAATTCTCTGTCATTAATACATTTCCCCCGTCCTGAAGCATGGCTGTGCCATTATCTCCACTTTACAGATGGGGAAACTGAGGCAGCGAGTGGCTGCGGGTATGTCTACTCTGCAGTTAGACACCTGCGGCTGGCCCCTGCCAGCTGACTTGGCTCGGGCTAAGAGGCTGTTTAACTGCAGTGGTCTAGGACCCCGCAATTAAACCCAAGCCCCACGAGCCCAAGTCACCTGGCAGGGGCCAGCTGTGAGTGTTTGTTGGCAGAGTCGTCATATCCTGTGTGACTTGCCTAAGGTCACTTGTGGTAGAGCGAGTGAAACAACCAGCACCTCCCCTTCTTGCACCCTGAGGGGCGGGGGAATCTCACTGTGGTGTCTTTTCTGTTTGTGGATTTCCAAGATCAAAGGAGCGATTCTGCTCTCAGATCCTGTCTTGCGGTTAGTTTGAGCGATCAGAAACATACCACATCCTGCCTGTGTGGCCCTCCTCCCCCCAAGCTCCCCTGGAGATGCACACAGGAGCCCAGGGCAGCTCTCTGCTGTCATGTCTTGATCTGGGGGCTCTTCACCAACCCCCGGCTCCCCCTTCTCCCACCCCATTTCTGCACCGTGCAGAGCCACCGAGATCTTTGTGCTGCTTCTCTCTGCCGGCCCCAGACCAAGGAGGCCAGGCCTGCCCAGGCCTATCACACCAGACATTAAACCACGTGAACTGAACCGGCTTTAAGGGCAGTTCCTGCTAGCAAGGTGGGGCAGTATAGTCTGCCTGGCCCGTGCAGATCAACCACAAACATTGGGGTGAAAAACAAGGCCTAGGCCAGCTCCCTGTGTGGCCGGAACATGCCTTTAAACAGGGCAGAATACGGCCTAAAGGAATTCTTGGGGTAGGGACTAGAGCTGAGAGAAATCTGAATTTCTGTCCCATGGGCAAGCCCAATATTCGACCTTCGTTCCTGTTCCAGATCAGGACGAAAAGTCAAAATATTGAAATTATTCATGGAACAAAAAGTCTTAAAGCATTCCTATTGGGGAGTGTTGACACGTGTCACTGTGGGGCAGGTTGACACAAAACTCCATCTGCCCCCGTTGCCACCACGCCTCATAGGACTCGTAATTTGGGTGTCTTATTCCCTTATTCTCCCCCATGGGCACAGCTCCCTGGCTGGACTACATCTCCCTTGATGCACTGCAGTCATATGACTCCCATGATGCCCCACATATCTCAGGCTGGACTCGGATTGGCAGCCATCCCCAGAGAGCACCCAGCGTGCTGTTTGATCGGGGAAGCTCGAGGACTTTCAGGCAGGGAGTGACAGTGGTGGAAGGACAGATGTGGGGAGTTTGCTTCCATCTCTAGCAATCTGGGTTCTGCAGCACTCTCATTGCTACCCTACAGGCCTCTCCTGCACTGCATGCATCTAACAGCTGCCCTGACATCTCCCAGCTCCAGTGACATGAGCAACCCACTCGAGTTTCACACTTGTCGTTTCTACCATGGATGTGAAACCCCTCGCAGCTGGCTGGGTGAAGGTTTTTACGCTGAGGAAAAGAACAATGGTGTGAAGGTGTGGAAGCAGAGAAAGAACTGACAGGAAGGGGATGCAATGCATGACAGTTCGTTAGCAAGAGTCAGGCTAACTGTAACCCTAATAACGCGAGATTTGTAGAAGCGAGGATTGTGTGAGGCAAGTGGGAAAGAACTGTGTGAGAAGTTGTTGCGACCTTGTGTAGATAATATGGAATGTAGACTAAGAGTCTACACAAGTGAGAAAAACAAGATATCAGAATGACCAGTGTATAAACAAAATGCAGCTGTTGCTTATTATTGTCTGTAACAAAAGGTATCAATCCTTGCTGTAATTGTTTACCTGTTGAGAGACCTGCCTAGGAGGGGGAGACCCTGTGTCCTAGTGCACTCTCTCCCTCTATGCAATTGCTTGAGAGAATAAAGTATCTGACTTTGCTGTACCCAACCAAAGGAGTGAGAACTGTGTTTTTCTCCGACAATTTGGGGGCTTGTCCGGGATGGCAACGCCTGAGACAGCGGCAGCTGCTATGGATTGTTCCCCTTCGAACCCCATGGCGCCACAAGAGAGGTATGAGACCTTTTGAAATCTCTATTGGGGTGTCGGAGGAGGACTGCCCGTGGAGACTGTCTGTCTCTGTTGGGCTTACGCCATCTGAACTTATTGACTGCAGCAAGATCAGATGCAGAGCGGTGCTGGGGAACTGTTTTGCCGCCCCCAATAAGGTTAGTTTATGTGGTGCTGGGGACTTAGTTTTGCCACCCCCAAGAAGGTTAATGCATAAGGGAAATGCATTAGGTATGCACCGGGGCTGAGGGGTTTTTAGCCTCTCCTGTGTGAGTATCCTGTAGGGAGAGATCCTTAGTTTATGAGTGGACAGGGCATCCTCCCTGTGTGTGTGATTGGAAAATGGGTGGGGGACAGTCTAAGCATTCCCTCTCACCCCCTAAGGGTACCCCAGCTTATTTCATGTACGTACATTATGGTCCTAAAACCTGCAGGTATTTAGAGAATTGGAATCTTTACACGCGTGAAAATCCATCTAAACAATGCCCACTAGAAGGTACCTTCAATCTAGATAAGATCATACATCTCAGAGGAGCTTTTAATCACCAAAAAATGCCTCTGACACACAGTGGGAGCAATTTGTCTATTGAGGAAAGGAACGGGTTAATTTGAAATTCAGCTTGGCCCAGAGATAAAGAGAGAGTTGCTCTGCGTTCAAGGTCAAAAATCAACGCAGACCAGGCTAAGTACAAAGAAAAACTGCTTTCGGCCCCAGCTGGCTGTGAAAAAATATAGACAGAGGCAAACCAAAGGCAATACAAGTTACAGGACTGAGATTATATTTTCAAACCTTAACTGTCCAGTGAGATCCAACAGTCTGGCTTTGCGACCCTGGAGCCGGCGTGGTTTGGGGATGCTGAAGAAGCCACAGGCAGCCGGCCTGGACTGGAATCTCTGAGAGATGCCGCAGGAGACCCCAGGGCGTAAAAGAACTGCCCTCCCAAGAGAGGAAGCAAGTTGGAGATTCTGGACAAGCTGTATACAGGATAATCTCCCGTCCACCTCTCCCCCTTCTCTGGACGTTCTACACAGACGTGGCCAGTCTGGACATACATGTGTGAGTATGAAAGTGGCTTAGGGCTTGGGGCATTAATGTGTTTTTTTTCTTTCCCTGAGTGATGTGGGAGCGTTCCCAATACTCTGTTGTTGTTTTATTAATGAAGCTTTAAAATGTAGTCCTATGGTGTGTTTTCTTTATCTTCCCCCAATGATCCTGCAGTGTCAGCCTGACCATCTGACACGAGGGATAGATTGGTCACAGAAATCTGTCAGTTTTGGTGGAAATTGAGGAAAGGGGGGGAGCCCTGCAGAATGCACACCATCTATTTGTTTTGCCTTTATTTTATGTTTGCTTTGCTTGGTACTGTTAGTGTTATATGTTGAGAATTGCATGATTAAAAGTGTGCCCACTCTCAGCCGCAGTAAGTCTGAGAACTGGAGAGGGGTTTAGCATTCCTTTCTCCACCCCGGTTGACCAGGAAGGGTGTCAGGTGAATCTACCCCAGTCGTAACAGGACTGGGTAATAGAGAAGTTGGAGAAAAGAGAAGAGTTGTGTACTTGATAACTAGAATTGAGCAATTAAGAGCATAGATCATGAACCAGGCAGCAACTCAAACCTACGCCCAGGGCAAGTTGCAAGCCTTGAGACAGGACTTCCAGGCAGAAAAGGAAGCACTAGCTAAGCAAGTACTGGTCCTGTTATTGGTTATGCTATATCTAGCCCACAGATTGACAGCATTCTAAAGCTAAGACCAAATTGTGGAACTAACATAATGCTTGACACCAGAACATTGCTTACTCTGTGTGTTATATCCCTTTCCCCCACTCTGGGTCTGTCTTTCTATTTAGATTCTAAGATCTTCAGAACACGGACCATCTGCTAGTCTATGTTTGTACAGAATACTATGTTTGCCTATCATAGGCAGAATTCTATGTTTGCCTATCACCAGAGGGTCCTGTTCTTGGTTGGTCCTTAGATGCTACTGTAATCAACTTGATTAATAAATAATAATAATAAAATATTATTTCAGCATCAATTTTAAGATGACCGATTCAAAAAAAATGAAGAGGAAAATGTTTTTTTCTCCTCCCTCTTTCCACTGTATTTCTTTTTTAGAGTTACTGACAGCAGATATTACAGCGAGTGTAAATTGTGCAAAGAGAGTTGTTCGCGATCCTAATGGCATGGGTGCATGGTACGTTTAAAACTGTTACAAGAACTAATAACAATGACATATTTGTGTGTATAGTTGGGGGGAGTCCAGTTAAAAGAGAGAGACTACAATCTTCTTTTGGATAAACAAGCTTGTATAGAAGCAACAAGCAGGTTGCTAATATTTGCATGCTTATTTATTAACATATTTGAACTCAGAACTTGTATATTAAGGGTTCACAGCAGAATACATTTATGGACATTGAGGCTTCTCAGTTGTAGCTCTGATACACATCAAGGCCACTTGGACCTTTACAGCAGCAATGGAGATAACACTCAGATCTCCCTCCTCCAAAAACTCCTACACTTGGACTGAAAACGACTCTCTATTCGTTATTAAAGGTGTAGGGTCTATGACATACAGTTGACCAGTTTTGATTCCATCCAGTATAGAGCACTGGCACTGTGAATGGGAGTCTTTTCCATCTGCTGTAAACAACAGTCCAGGTGCCCTCTCTAGGTTCACAACTCACCTACTTCTGGGGTTTGACTTTTCTAATGACCAATAAAAGAGCACAAAGTCCGGTCTAAACCTTCTCCACAGACTTGGGTGACCTGACAGTTCCTAGTTCAGGATTGCTCAGCCCACCCCTTAGGTCTTCTTGGCCTTCTTCCTCTCTTTTAATTCCCTCTAGACTTGTTACTTCTAGCAGGTGAAATGGGACCGGCTTCAGCTGTTGTCTACAGGACAGACAATCAACCCCTTCCTGCCCAGGTTTGCCCCGCTTGTCCACCACATCACAAGCACACCCACTCTTCTAATTAGAGAAATGTATTTGGTGAGCATCTGTGGTTCCCAGGAATTCAAACACCAATGTAACAAATCCAAATCCACCAAGGACTTCAAGATTACATCTATGCTACACAACAGGGCCACTTGATCCTTCATATGGCAGTGGGGATGGAACTTAAATCACCTTTCTCTGGAAGTTTACTGCCCTCCAGCTGGAAATAAATGGGAATGTGCATTAGTTCTATTTAGCAGGATAGCGCTTATGGCACAAAACTGAACAAATTTGATTCTATCCAGTAGGGAGCAGCTTCTAATTTTCCCTGGGGGTGCTCAAACCTATCCCACCCGGGCCCCACCCCCATTCCACCCCGTTCCCCAAGCCACCAACCCACCCATCTCTTCCTGCCCTTGCTCAACCCCCTCCCTGCCTCATTCTGCCCTCCCCCCTGAGCATGCCCTGTCCCCATTCCTCCCCCTCCCTCCCAGCATCTCCTGCATGCCACAGAACAGCTGATCCATAGCTGTCAGGAGGCACTGGGAGAGAGGGGGAGGAGTTGATCAGCAGGGCCGCTGGCGAAAGGGAGGCACTGGGAGGAGTGGGGGAGCTTGGCTGTCGGTGGGTGCTAAGCTCCCGCTAATTTTTTTCTGGAGTTGCTGCCTATGAGCAGTGTCACAAACACACCAAATTTATGTGGCAGGAATAACAGCTGGTAAGTGGGCCTTTTGACAACCTTTTAGGAACCTTTTAGGCCATTCAGACTAGCCAGGTGCTTTGTCGGGATTGGACCAGTAACAAATTATTTGTTATATAAGCTTGGATCTCTGCAAAAAAGTTAATTGTACATAAATGTAATTGGTTGGCTTTTTCTTGGGGGGCTTTGCACTAATTGATAAGCTTGCCATAATCAACTAACGTGATTTTTAACTCAAACAGGGTGGCATGGACAAAGAACTGCAAAGGGCGAGATGTCTCCCCGTGGATCCGTGGCTGCGGGCTATATGGTTATGGGGTTTACTGCATCTTGGTTCCCTTATAATTAAGGAGCTTTTCACATGCAGCAAAATATTCCCTCTTCTTGCTTCCCTTTTACAATTAATCATGTTCAAAATAAAACAAATTCAGGAGAAAGGTTTGCAGGGCAACTGACTGGTAAAATGCAAATATTTTACTCCTTGCCGTGGATGGTTCCATGTGACCAGCTGCAGTAACTTATTTTGTGTTCTACACAGTTTTAAAGATCTTGTATTACCTCTTTATTATATATACATGTCAGAATAAGCCAGATCTGTTTTTCCTGTGAGATCCTGCAACTAGTTTGTTCTGCTAATTAGTAGCAGTGTGTAATCCTGCCTGTGAGCTCACATTCATTATGCTCAATAAAATGACGTACTTTGCACATAGTTTTTGTGATTATTGGTTAATAAAGAAGAGAAAGTGAATATGAGATTATGAACTTGGACCCAGGTCCTCAAAGGTATTTAGGCTCCTAACTTCCATTGATGTTCATTTAATGGAAGCTAAGAGCCTAAATACCTTTGGAGAACGGCCTGGCACTATGAGATAAAGATTGTGGCAGAAGCACATAATCATGAACACCTACATGTTTTATTTTGACTATCATAGTTTGTAAACACATGGTGCAGAATGGTAATCTGTTAAATATAATTATGTTCCAAACCCACAAATTTGGGTTTAAAAAATCTGTTAAGGTTGTAGCAACTACACTGATGTCACTCATCACGTCATTCACACAACCCAAACACTTAAAAGCAAAGAAATGAATAGTTAAGAACACTGGCCCTCTTACACTGGTTGCATGACAAACACACACGCTGGTCCCAGTTTAACCAGGTATTGAAGCACATGAGTCATCCACGAGGTCAGGGGGAGAGGAGAGGGACTCCCAGCACTCCTGCACACCCCAGCTAGTAGATGCTCCTTTGGAGACTATTACCAGCTGGCAGAGTTAGCTCTCCACTGGAGCATAGCAGGCAAGAGAAATCAGGGAGCCAACAAGGACACCGAGGAACTGTTGGGACTGCAGCTAGTGGTGTGCCCCAGGGAGACAGAGGTGCAGGTTCACAGCAAGGTGATCATAGGAAGGAGCCCAAGGATACCAGACGATTGTCCAATTGTGTTGCCCTAATCCTGGTCAGCATGTTGGGATCCCCACTGACCACATGGTGGAACCCTCTGCCAGTGTTAGGGCCCTGGGCTGGGACCAGGTGAAGTAGGGTGAGCCAAGGTCCCCCTATCCTCTGCTGCCAACCCCATCTCTGGGGGGCAACCTTCCCACCTTAGGCCAAGAGGCCTGTGTTTGTCTGCCATCTCCCAGATACAGGATGTCAGGCATTAACCTGCTTGCTGCTGTGCCCTGCCTCAGGGCCTGAGCCCTGGACTTCTTGCTGCCTGGCCCCTGCCTAGGTGACCAGGACCTTGGAGACTGCTAATCCCCCTTTGAGCCAGTCTTTCCAGAAACACAGAGCGAGGGGGCCTGCCCTCCCTCTGAGCCTGATGGGGAGGGACAGCCGCAGGACCAGTGCAAGGATATTTTGCTCCCTAGGTGAAACTTCCATTGCGCCCCCCCCTTCTCCTCCCCTCCACCCGGAGCATCACTTATTATAAACTTTCAAAAATGAATACTGCATAATGTGGCATTGTTCATTAGAATTAATACAAGGGGGTCAGAGGAGATGATCACAATGGTCCCTTCTGGTCTGGGGGATAATGAGCAATGAGGAGGGTGAGAATGCCCCCTGCTCACAGGGTCTCTAAACATTCCCAGGCTCTGAGTACTTCGCCCTACGGGGGGGACCCAAGGGCAAGGACGGCAGAGCCGGGCTCTCCCGGGGAGCAGGTGAGGATCTCCCTGGGGATCAGGGCTGGCTCCCTGCATTGGCACAGTGCCACCGGGGGGGCAGGGAGGGTCAGTGTTTGGAAGCAGCACCTGCACCAGCCCTTTCCCGTCCGTCGCACTGCGGGGTTTTGTTTCACTTTCCCTTGCCCCAGCAGGCAGCTGCGCCCGGCCCCAGGCATGGCACGTTGGAGGGCGAAGCTCACCTGAGCTCAGGACTGCATCCTGCCTCCCCCAACGGTTTCGTCCCTCGGCCGCGCTGGTCGCCACGCCCGGCCGGCTGTCTCCTCCTTGCTCCACCACAGGCTCCCACTGACCATCCTGTGCGGTACCCCACGCTGCGGGGGCGGGTTTGTTATGGCCTTGCTCCCCGCCCTGCCCCGCTCAGCTGACTCCCGTGACTCTGGACACCGCTTTTTGGCGCCCCCAAATCTTGGCGCCCTAGGTGGTTACACCGGCCCTGGACAGCCGCAATCTCCTGCACCTCTGGTGAGAGCAACCTCCAGCCCCATAGATTTCAGTGGGAGTTAGATGCCTAAATACCTCACCGCATCTTGGCTTATGAATAAAACGTTATCCGTGTTCCTGATGCCGCCGTGCATTAAACTTGTTTGAATCTTCTATCTGCTA